GGGGGGGGACGCACATCGACCCGGGGGCGCCCACTGGGTGCGTTCTATTGTGGCGCCCCAACCGCGGCGCAGCCTTCGGAAAAAAAGAGAAAAGAACAAGACGTTTGTAGTTCCGGATGCAGAGCTCTGCCTAGGAAGGGGTGGTAGTATGAGGGCGTTGGATACGGAAAGTACGAATAATTCAAGCCTCTGTGTGGGAAATGTAACCCCCTTAGGGATCGGGCACACCCTGCGCGACTTTAGAGGCGTCCAAATATTATGGGGTCCCAAAAGCAGCCCAAAACGTGGTCAATGCCCAGTGCACATTCAAGGCCAGAGTTCCCTTGCTGATTAAAGGCCGGCCCATTTTCCTCGAGGGAACCCTTTTCTTGAAAGCTGGCTGGTTAGGCTAAAGAAGAGGAAGAAGACGGTTAGTCCCAAAGGCAAAATGAGGACGGTCTTTAAAGTCCATGCGGACACCATGATGTGTGTAACCCTAGACCAGGGTACAGATCTCATGAGGTCCCTATGGACTCTAACGACAACGGCCGTGTTGCGCACTCGTCCCACTGGTCCTCGGGTACTTTTTGTAACATCGGTCAGGCACGGAACCTCTTCGTGCGTTTGGGTCACCAAACCGTGCGTATCCAGCAGCCTATCGGCCACGGCCAAGGCCCAGAGAGGCAAGGGGGGGGGGGGCAGGTGCCGGCGCAGTCAGGCGTGTCTGGGCGTTACACATCGGGGTACACTACTACGCGGGGGTGTCGCCGACCGTCCGTCCGTCCGTCCGCCGTGACGCCTGAGATGAGACGGGCAGACAGACGGACGCTCGGGCGAACAGACGGACGGGCCGGAGTCTGGCCGCCAACGGCCGGTCGGTAGGTATGGTCTTTCCCTTCCGGGTTCATCCACCGGCACCCGGGTCCTAGAGCTCCTCGCAGCTGCGTGAGACAGCTGATGCTCAGCTGGAGCCAGGTTCAACAGCCTGCGCGCACCTGACAGAAGCAGCATATAACCGCATCACTTTTTGCTTTCGGTTCTGCTCGCGCCCCAAAAACATTGTGAAGAGGGAAATCAAGCGTGCGAAACAAAACAAAAAAATACATCAGTTGTCGCGGTCAAGGCCAACTGCTACCAGCTCAAGCAAAAAAGTAAATGAAAAAAACAAACATTTAAAACCTTTTAACTGTGTACTCCTGCATGCCGACTGGGCATTCGGTACGCCGCTGCACACACTATTCTTAACCGGACGCTGCGTCCGAAAACGAAAGTGGCGTGCGCTCCGCGGAGCGGGTCTCACACGGCATACAATCGGGACCCTCCTCGTACATTCTCACTGGAATTACTCATTTCCCGCAGAGCAGTGCAATTTTTCGAACGCCAACGCGCTGCTTTGTCGCAAACACTCAAAATTAACGGATCTTTGATTCAAAGGTATATATTTGAGCTAGTAACTAGTATGAAAGAAGGCTTCAGAACTTGAACCTGAATGAGGCTCCTTTGAATTCCTTGCGCACGTTCAAGGCCCCTTAAGGGACGTTCGTCGGATGGCGGGCGCGTATGGCGCGTTTTGCACGATCCACCGTAGGTGTGTGTGTGAGAGAGAGAGAGAGAGAGAGGGGGGTGGGGCGTGAGGGCAGCACCGGAACGCTACCCCACGTCTGTGTCCTGCACGCCAATCATCCTGGCGGGCACATCACCCAGCCCCGCCACGCCTGTCCGTCCTTCGACGCGTCAACCCAAACTTCCCTACCTTCCCCCGTGCTGTGAGCTGCCAGCGCCCACATATTGGGAAGGGCGGCAAAAGTGTCCAACAAAACTGAGAGGGAGGGATGGGGGAGAGGGAGAGAGAGGGAGGGAGAGCGAGCGAGCGAGCGAGAGAGCGAGAGAGAGACAGAGAGCGAGAGAGAGAGAGAGAGAGAGAGAGAGAGAGAGAGAGAGAGAGAGAGAGAGAGAGAGAGAGAGAGAGAGAGAGAGAGAGAG